TACATATATATATATATATATATATATGAAAGGAAACAAAATAAAAATCCCTCCAAATAGAGAAACATAGAAAAATAGGAAATAAAAATAAAAGGAAACACAAGTAGTGAAATATATTAGGGAAAAGGAAATAAATTTCGTCCTAATCATTTCGTCCTAATCAAGCATACCAATTGACGCTCGCTCAAGCTCGGTTGTATAAATTGTGATTTCGTCCTAATCAAGCATACCGATTGACGCTCGCTCAAGCTCGGTTGTATAAATTGTGCAAACCAAGCTCGAGCATCAATTCATCATGAATTGCCCTTGGAAGTGCTTTGATGAGAATATCAACAATCTAAAGTCGTGTTGGAATAACTTAACTGAACAATTTTCATCTTTTTTTACATGAAGCATTGGTCAATCTTGGTGTGTTTTTGTCTTTCATAATGCACAAGCTTTTTGGTTATATTAATGGATACTTGGCTATCATTAAACATCATAATTATGTCATTCGTCTCAATCTTAAATTCACTTAATAACCTTTGATCCACATTTCACCACATATTCCTAATATTCAGACAAAAGCTTATTTTTTGTTTCTCCGCGTGACGAAATTGCCCCATACATATGAATAGTATTCAGAGATAGATTTCCTAACAGTTACCTCTCCTGCCCAACTAGTATTTGTATAAACCTAAATCTCACGATTTTCAAATCTTTTGAAGAACAAAACATATCCAAGGGTCACTACAAGTATCTCGGGATTTTGGTCATTGCTTCCAAATGATCCTCATCTGATTATTCATGTGTTGCTAACTACACTTACTGAGTATGCAATATTGAGTTCTGTGTGTGGTAGGTAAAGTAGTTTGTTTACTAGTTTTTAATATCTTCCTTTGTCAGCTGGACTGCTTTATTCACTTTTGTTCAGCTTTTTGTTGAAATTCATGAATGTGACAGTAAGTTTACACCCAAGCATGTCAGTTTTACTTAACAGGTCTAAGATATACTTCTTTTGGGATATTACAACTCTCTCATCAGACCGAGTCACCTCCATTCTTAAAAAATATAAGAAATTTCTGAGATCCTTGATCTCAAATTTTTGTTGCAAGAATTCTTTTAGTCTAATAATTTCTTTTGAATCATTACATGCAAATATAGTGTCATTTACATATATTATAAGAATACAATTTTTGCCTCTATGATTGGATTTGCAAACAATATATGATCATCTTGACACTAATGATATTCATTTGTAATTAGTGTTTTAGCAAACCTGTCAAATCAAGTATGAGGAGATTGTTTCAAGCCATATAAACTTCTTTGACATGCAAATCAATCTGTTGTTCAGCATATTTTCTAAGTCATATAAACACATCTGTCAAATCAAGTATGAGGAGATTGTTTCAAGTCATATAAACTTCTTTGACATGCAAATCAATATGTTGTTCAGCATATTTTCTAAGTCATATAAACACACAAGAGGTCTCAGCAATTTTTTCCTCAAAATTCTGAGTTTGTTGAGCCTATGTCTGCTAAAAATAAGTCATGTTATGCCATTGCCGCCCGGGTATCCTAATTTTAATTATGTTGCAAAGTTGTTCATCATTTATTTTTCAATAAAAAAACATAGTTCTTATCAATGTGAAATTTATCAACTTGTCAAACACGCTAGAAGTATTTATCCCATGACCCAGTACAAACCCTCACACCCTTTTTCCATTATTCATGGTGATATTTGGAGACCTTCAAAGGCGAAAACCCTAAGATGATTTGTTTCAGTTGTTGATGATCATATTAGAACTACTTAGGTATTGCTAATAAAGAGGAAATCTGAAACAACCTAAATCTTCCAAACCTTCCATGACATTATTTAAAATCAGTTACAATGAAATTTAGATCCTCAAAAGTGATAATGGAAAGTAATATATTTAAATTCTATCCATAGATCCTATCTTTCCAAAAATTGAAACATTCATGTGTGTTCAGGCAATGATATCTGACAAAAAAACGGGATAGCTAAGAGAAATAATAGGCATTTCCTTGAGGTATCTCGTTCAGTTGTGATTTCACATCAAGTTCCAAAACATCTTTCAGAAGAAGCAGTACTTACTGTAATATTCCTTATCAATCGAATGGCGAGCTAGGTACTTAAATTCAAAACAACACTTCATATTTTGTTGGATAATTATCCTCACATCAGATATTTCTCTTCTACTAAAACATTTAAAAATTTTAGGTTTATACATTTATTCACATTCATTCCCCAAATAACACAAAACTTTACCCTAAATCGATTAAGTGTACTTTTCTTAGGTATGCATTAAAAAAATTGATCTTAATCTACAACAACAACAAGCTTAAGCCACTAAGTGGGGTCTGCTACATGAATCATTTTCCACCATTGTGTCCTATTGAATGTCATATTTTCATTTAAATCTAATAGATTAAGATCATTTTTATACAACATGCACAAGTCCTTTTAGGTCTACATGTTTCTTAACATAATTCGAATATAAAACATCCACCCTTCTAACTGGATCATCATATGGTCGACGTTTAATGTGACCAAACCATCTAAGACGACCTCTCTAATCTTTTCTACCATTGAAGCTACATCAATCCTATCACGGATATATTCATTTCGCATTTTGCTCTAAGTGTCAAACCACTCATCCACCTTAACACTCTCATCTCAGCAACACTTAACTTTGTTTTATGCTTCTCCTTTAAAGGCCAACATTCTGCACCATAGAGCATTGCAATCTCACCACCATCTTATAATTTTTTTTCTTTCAAACTAGGCGGTACTTTTTTATCCTCCTTATTCTCTTTGTACTCGCAATCTCACCACCATCTTATAATTTTTTTCTTTCAAACTAAGCGGTACTTTTTTATCCTCCTTATTCTCTTTGTACTTCTCCATCAAACCTCTCAATAAATATATAGCTTCCATAGTAGACCTGCCCAGCATAAATCCAAACTGATTATGAGAATATTTTTATCATATCTTATGGTTAGAATTAAATGAAAATATCACACACAATAGGACGCAATGGAGAAAAAGGATAATGTAGCCAACCTCACTTAGCGGGATAAAAGCTTGTTGTAGTTGTTGTTGTTGTTATTGTTGTTGTATGCATTAAACAAAAAGAGATATAAATGTTACTCATCTGTTAATTGGAAAATACAACTACATAGATGTAACACTTTTTTTAAATCAATCATATTATCCCAAATTTGATGTTCAAGGGAGTGTAAATGAACATAAATTTTGAGATGCACTTGATGACGCCTACATGGCCTCACAACCGATTCTTCTTCCACCTAACCCTCCTAGCCCTCCTATCCTAATTGAGGATATCCAACCAGCCCAACTTGAAGTCCATAACAATGAACTTTGTGTGTACATAAGGAGGAAGAAAAACTTTGAGCGGGTGGAAGACAACTTGCAAAGACAAAATTACTCAAACCAAAACATGAGTTCGCATTCACCAGAAATTTCGTTAAGGAGTCTAGTACTCATGAGTTATCCTCTTCCTCTTCTAGTACTGATGACAAGGAAAGTTGTAATAAATACCCAATTAGCTTATGAGAAATTATCCTCATATTATAGAGCTTTTGTATCTGACCTTAATACTGTGCAGATTTTTAAATTCATTCATGAAGCTCTTGAAAATCCAGAATGGAGGAAAACAATTGAAAAAAATATTCAAGCACTAAAGTATAATGGCACATGGATTCTTGCTAAACTCCTTTAGGATAAGAGGCAAATTTGATGCAAATACGTGTTCAACATCAAATACAAAGCTGAAGGAGGTATTGAGAGATTCAAAAATACACTTGCTGCAAAAGATTTCACTCAAGCTTATAGGATAGACTATTAGGAAACCTTCAGACCAGTTGCCAAACTGAACACTATAAGAGTTTTCCTTTCAGTATCAATTAATAAGGAATAGGGATTGGATCAACTTGACATAAAAATTGTTTCCTGAACGAGGATCTTGAAGAGGTGCTGTACATAGAGATATCACCAGAACTTGAGAATGATTCCAATAAAACACCTGGCATGCAAACTTAAAAAGTTTTTATATGGGCTTATGCAATCACCAAGGGTGTGTTATGAAAGTATTGTTAAATCTATGAGATCTAATGGATATTCTCAAAAACATTATTCACAAAACACACTCAGTGAGGTAAGATTGTTACACTAATCGTACATGTGGATGATATGATTCTTACTGGTGATTATGAAAGAGAAATTCTTAAAATCAAATAAATATTTGTCACTAATTTTGAAATCAATAACCTAAGAGCTATGAGAAATTTTTTAAGTATGGAGGTAGTAAGGTCAAGAAAGGCAT